GTCAGAAACATAGAAAGCTGCACCACCTGCATGAGATAAGGTGGGCTGAGAAAAGAATTTATAACCATTAATAAAGTTATTAAATGGAATTCCAGGTGTGCTTTTAAGTCTGGTTTCAGTAAGACCAATAACAGAAAAATTATGATTTAGTTCCGAAAGCATATGTATAAAATTGTCAATGTTGGCATTTAGACTTCTGATGTTGGAGTGCAAAACCGAAAAACATTTACCAGAAATGCTACTTATACCACAACATTAACACTGATGTTGTACTTACAGAATGCTTGCCCTCTTCCATGACTGTAAAATGAATCACTGTCACGCTTAGTGRATGCAACAAACACAGAATTATCTAGGATTGCGTGACTCCTACGACAAACATTTACGAGCGAAAGTATGGTAAAAAAATACCCCCCAAAACTGAAGTAACTTAAATGAGAGTAAATTACTAAGATAAAATGAATTCTGAAGAAATTATTCGATTGGATAGCAATATTACCGTGGTATATTGCTAAATTGCGTATTTTAATCTGCCTAAACTATGGCCTGACCTTGTTCTGTATTACAATACTTTATACAAATATCGTTGGATTCTTATTATTTGACCCGTCTTTATGCCAATTCTTTCGGGCAATTAATTGTAAAAAAAATTCAAAAAGTATTCATTTTAGTTTTCTTGCCGTTCGTGCAGCTTTAATCKGAAAATGAAGAGAGAATGCAACGATGACTGAAAACAGTCTTGTCTTGACAACGTTGGAAGTTGGATTCAAATGCTTTACCACAGGAAGCCCGAGCACTGCAATTACATCTTGTATGTAATAAGCCTTTTCATAGTTTAAGAATCGATTCCACTGCGCATGCGATTTTATCCCGAATTTCTCACCTTCTTTTGTCTAAACCTTCTTTTGTTCTTAATTAAAAAAAAGAAGGTGAGAAATTCGGGATAAAATCGCATGCGCAGTGGAATCGATTCTTAAACTATGAAAAGGCTTATATATACAGTATGAGTGGCCGGACACGAATACTGTATATGACTTATCAAACGTCTAGGTTAGTTCCTTTGTGTTTCACTAAAATTTTCAAAATTAAAGTGAATTTGGCCAAGAAAATCCAACTTAAAGTTTATGTAAATGAACAATAGACCAGTTTTGTATCAGATTTACAACACTCTTCACGGTCGTGATTTCTAGATAGATGTGGCAGTGCGCCGTGTGGGATGGGCTCGGATATCAAATAAGAACATGCGTAATAAATAAATTACGAGCCTTAGATGAAACGACTGAAGAAGAGTTATTCATGAGTTTGATAAAGACCAAATGCAAAACTTGCACGCCTGACATCGTATAATTTCATTGTTGYATTCGATATCGTTTAAAAAGCAAATTTCAAAATAATACATTTGTGGGATTAAAAGGGTCTATATAATAAAAATGTGGAATTAAAAGGGTCTGCTCAGGAGAAGGGAGTTTTTGTTTTGACGGCCTAGGACTGGGAAAGAGCAGCACAGCCTCTCTACAAATAACTTGAATTTAGCACACGCGCAATTAGTTTGTTGACCCCTTTACTTTGATTCCAACAAATTCATACATAATTGTATTACAAAAATGATTTTGTAGTTCTGAAATTTTACATCTTGAAACGAAGCATATTTTTACATATCAGGTCGTTTGCTTGAAACAAAGTATAAATATATATGTCATATAAGTTAGTCGCCATAGATCAATACTTGTCTTCGTCGTCACACTTGAACGAATGACTGAAGACGTGAGGATTAATCATTAATTAATAATAATTAATTGATAGTAGAATTCGTAAAATTCCGCTGTGTTCCTTGATTACAGACTCACTTGCTCAGGGTTAGCCTGGTATCAGTGTCCAAATTATCTAAGGCCCCGTCCACACGTACTCAGCACCATTAAGGCATGGCTCTTTTGAGGAAGTGATGGAAAATCAGTTATTTATTCATATCTTTGACAGTTTACTATGAATCTTTCCCMAATTTGGCTCGTAGTAGTAATTCTTCAAGGCAAGCAATTACCGCATATCTGTTACCATGGAAACCAGGTCACGTGACCACAAAGCCGCCATCTTGGATTTTTTAAACAAATCGTTTGTA